TGTGTGTGTGTGTTTATTGATACCTCTAAACTGTGCTTGTGCACATTCCGATCGCTTACGCACATATGCACGTAGAGATACGATGAATATACCAGCAAACAACTTGCAAGCATGTATTGTGCACGTAACGATACAGTGGAGAAACCAAAAGAACGACTGCATTCACCACGGATTGTTTTTCAGAGGGTGTGGTATCATGGTACAGAGAAAATATACACATGTTGCAATATTGTATATCTATAACTCGTTCGTATATCATATAACAATTATGAATCTTAACAAATATGTAGTGTGTACTATGTAACTGTGTCCAAGTAAAGTCCATGGCACATTGACAATTCCAATTGGATCCGCATTGGTATGATATCACAGTCAAGGCTACTATGCACCTTTTAACTTCAAAGCGTATAATAAGTTTTAGATTTAAATGCATCGAACAGCTTGCGGACATTGAAGAGTGTGCGGACAAATACTAGTATGTATATACCTGTGTCTTGCTATCCCAGTCGGCTGTCGTCCCGACAATCAGCCCGGATAGCACACCCGCCTGGTTCTCAGTCAGTAGGAAACATCCCAACTGTCCCTTCTTCTGGATTTGATCAAGCATAGGTAGCTGCTCAGGCCCGGCTAGACCCACAATGCTGCCGGTGAACAGGTTGAATTGCACTGTGAAGCGAATGCCGAATCCCCCTAGGCCAATCTGAGCGTAGGAACATGGTGAAAAAGAGGATTGCCAGATGTACGGGAAAGTACAGCAAAGACTGACGAGCAGATTACAATAGATTGTAGAGCAGACCCCACACATGAACGCATGAAGTTATAGGACATGTCAGAGACAGGTGGTAAAGAGAGGATAAATTGCTATGAATGTTTTGTGGCAAGCATCATATTGATAATTTGCTTTTAAGCGGATGTAGGCTATATGCTGCTAGCAACAATACCGATCCAAAAAACATATACAGCTGTATATATGCATACCAAAAGATTTATACATGTTGCACACAAGCTGATGTCTTTCATATGAGCCTTATATATA